TCCAATTTCTTGTGGTGAATACCAAGAATGTGAACAAAGGAAACACACCCAAAAACTCTCAAAGGTATATAAAACATCTCCACATCTAGAAAAAGAATGCGTGAAGGGACATGATTAATCAGATGCACAGCTGTGAGAATTGCATCCCCCCAAAAACGAATAGGAATTGAAGAACACACCATAAGGCTTCTTGCCACTTCCACAATGTGCCTATTTTTCCTCTCTGCTACCCATTCTATTGTGGTGTATATGCACAACTACTCTGATGAATCACACTATGCTCCAAAAAATGTGGCTGTCATTCTCAAAGTATTCTCTAGCATTGTTCGATCTGAAGACCTTAGTCCTCATTGCAAATTGTGTGAGAACCATTTGGTAGAATTGTTGCACCAAAATAGGTACATCATCACGTGATCTCATCAAATATATCCAAGAATACCACGTGTGGTCATCCACAAACAAAAGGAAATAACGGTAACCACCCATGGAAGAATATAATAAGGTCCCCATACGTTAGTGTGAACAATATCAAAAGAAAAAGAACTTCTTTTATTACTTGGTTTAAAAGAATGTCTACAATGCTTTCCCAACTGGCAACTTTCATACTCCAAACTAGATAATTGAACAGACTCAAATAACTTTGGAAACAAAAGTCTTAATGAACTGAAAGAAAGATGACCCAAAGGATTATGCCAGAGCATAATCTGATTCACTGAATCTGATCCACTACTACCGTTGGTTGTTGCTACTAACATGATGGCTCTGATGTTTTGGAATCCCATCCAAAATGTAGACTCCATTCACCTCACGACCACTCCCAATTGTCCTCTTTGATTCTAGATCATGCAAAACACAATTACCAGGAAGGAAAGTCATTGAATAGTTCAAATTTCTTGTCAGAGAACTCATAGAAAGAAGATTACTATAGAGTCTAGGGACATTTAAGACAGAGGATAAAGTAATGTTTTTGGTCCCCATCAATGGGAATATGGGAACCATCTGCTGTAGAGACTCTATCTCTACTAGAGCACAACTTGTACATACTTCTCCAATTTAGTTCTAACTGCTATTACTTCAATGAACTCCCAATCAGCTTGGGTAAGAGGTCCCGAAGAGTCTCCTATAATTGCCACATTTGCATTTCCCTTCTTGTTCTTGACTTGAGCTGGTATGAGGTGTGGGTGAAAGCTTCCAAAAAGTGTCTCTGGTATGCTTTAGTCTTCTTGCAATAGTCACACACCAAGTCCTTCTTACCCTACCTCCTAGTCTCGCTACTCCCCGTCTCCATTTGGCTTAGGTTTGACTGTACTAATCATAGCCAACCGATCACTCCCAAGCTGTCTTAACATGACATTCCTTCTACTCCCAAGCTTGAGAAAGAGTTACACTTTCTCTAGAAAAGGATGTGTTGCCTGGAAATGTCGAATTCAGGGTTTAGCCCCCTAGCTAAGAACTCAAAAATCATATTCTTCTCTACCAACTTTTGATAGGTTGCTGCATCTTTCGTACTCTCCCAAACCATGGTTTCTAAGTGATCTATCTCTTGCCAAAGTGTTTTTGGCATGGAGAAATATATGGCAAGAGGTCTATCTCCTTGTTTTGTACTAATCACTTGATTCCTTGACTGGTAGTCTCTATCTACATTTTGTTTTAGGGAATAGGTTTCAGTCACTCTATCCCAGACCTCCTTTGTAGTATTAGCCAACAAAAAAAAAATTTTTACCAATGTGAGAACATAGAATTACACAACCAGGCCATAACCATGTAATTCTCCTATACCCACAAGGAGGAATCTATATCAGGTTTCTTCTCCTCCCCAGTGATGTACCCCAATTTCCCATGAGCACCAACGGCCATCTTGGCTGATTGTGCCCACTCTAAATAATTTGTACCATCCAGTTTCACTGTGGTAATAATTCCATACCCAAAAATATCACTAGTACCTCCAACACCCGACCCATGTTATTGGTGGACTTCTGCTCAGTACTCTAACTCTCCATTTCAACTTCAAACAATTCAAAAACAGGAAATAACTAGGTAGAAGGCCTCCAAGATCAAATCAATCTCACACATAAGGGTAGCTGACCATTTCAGAAGAAGAAAACCCTATCTGGAGAGGAATCTCTCTTCTTCCACCATTTCCCACCGAAGAGAAGAGTGAATCAGTCACTCTCGAAAGCCTAAAAATTCCCAGAAACTTAATAGTCCCCTATAAAAAACTTAGAGAAGTCTAACAAGGTCCAAGCGCCCAAGATCATATCAAAATTGAAGAGTCCAACTTAACTATGACTCTTCCCCACACTCTAGTTCTTCCTGATTTTGATGCCAAAACATAGATCACCTTCTTGGTGACTGAAAAACACCAAAAAATCCAAGAACTGGGCAGTCTGAAGTAGATCGATCAGCCCTTTATCTCCTCATGCAATCGGCTGATCTAGGACTGCATGAAAGAACTCCAAGAAACCCTAGCCTTGATACCAAGTAGAAAACTGCTGAATCAGAAAAATTTGTAAAAGAAAAAATATTTCTTGAAGAAGAGAAGAAAGAGAAGAGAAGAGGTTTGAGAAAGAAAGGAGAGCAATAATCTGGCCGCCCTCTTCACTTGTATTTATATTTTTAAAATAAAGAAGGGTACAAAGATCAATGTGCCCTTATAGGGCGGCTAACACCTAAAACTGCATAAAACACTTAAAAGAACAACTGAAAAAGGACCCAACAAGGGTGCTATGGTCCCCACTTCGTATCTAAACAATAAATAAACAAAAAACCACTGCTAAATCTGCACAAATCTGTCTAAAACCTCAACAGGTAATTGGATGGATAGAGAAGGCAAGTGATGGGCTGTGGATATACATTAACGAGCGAAGATAATTCAAATGGTTAATGCAGGTTATGGAAGTGTGTACACAATGGGTTAAAAGGTGTGTCAGTTCTTTTGCAGAAGCATTAGCCAAACAGGGGGTGGGAAGAAGGCAATTGTTTTGGGCTACATTGTAATTTTCTCTTTAGGGGGAGAGTTTACCTCTCCCTACTTTTGTAATTAAATCTTTCTTATTAATAATTTTTTTTTGTTAATGATCAAAAAAAAAAAGAGGTTGCTAACACTCCTGATGGAGGTTAGGGAAGGGTGTATTTTGTTTCCTTTGAGCAGGTGTTTGCGGATAGTGAGGTTTTCTCTGCTTGTGTTCTTTGGAAGGTGAGCTAGGGATCTAGCATGGGGTTTTGTTGTGATCTTTTTTTTTTTTTTTTATTCAGTTTTTGGGTGCGATGTGGGGTGATTTGAGTTTCGTTTGGGATTGGGTTGGTATGGGGTGTTTCAAAGTTTGCATGATTAGGTGTTTTTGCATCTCAGTTATTATGTTCCATTTTCGGGTGATTTCTTATCCGGTTGTATTCTTCTGCCTATTCTTAGTTAATGATTTTTCTTTATTTATTTAAAAAAAATGGTTACCAACTTCATCTTCCTTTTAAACACATTTTGGAGAGCCATGGCTTTTGTAGTTCTGGTATTGGTAAAAGGAGGAAGAAGAAAAAGGGACTTAGTACAGAGTTTTTTTTCTTAATTCTAAATTATATTAGTTTTTTTTATTGTTAACTGTCAAACTTTATTTATTAAAGAAATTAAGCAACATGTATAGAACCTTATCCCTGACTTCCAATCCCCCAAAATAATTGCCCTTGATAAACCCCTAGTTTGGAATTTTGGCTAATCCATCATCCAAACTTTTTGCTGACCTAGGAATCTAATAGTAGTATGTCTTCACTGGCATTTTGGATGTTGGGTTTTTGACTTCGAGCATGGTTTTGACTTGGATTGAGATTGGTGTTTCTCTTGGGACCTCTTTGGCTATTTTGGTTTGAGTTTGCCATAATCCCCTTGGGTGTATATATATATTTCCTTGACCTGTCAACATGGACATCCTGCCAGACCACATGAATCCTTGTGACTTATGTGTTCTGTTCTTTTCTACTATAATCATTCTCCATGCAACATACTGGACTATTGTTCCTTTATCATGAAGTTTTAGACTTGGCCTGCTTTGCAATGGCTAGCAAGATATTTATTTTTGGTACTCCAAATGCTATATTGGTGTATATTTTGTGCATATTCCTTATTTTTGCTTTTAATGGGAATATAATGGAAATAAATCCCCTTACTGTTTATGGTTTGCAAAACTAGCTATACTCCACCTAAAAAGGTTATTACCCAATGTTGGTCTTTGCAATCCAGGGTCTTGGGAGGGTGGACTAAACTGGATACAGACCTAACCTTTGTCTTTTTCTGCACAAAGTGGTTGTTCTTAGTCTTGAACCCACATTCTCAGGCTTGTCAGTCTGAGATTTTACCATTACATGAAGCAATGACCCCTAGCTATAGTCTACCTACACATTCTCAAAAATGGTCAAATTTCTAATTTTGCTTTCTGGGTCCTTCTCTGCTCAACTTAAGGGCAGCTTTATCCAAATCTGTTGGAGATGCTTGGGTAATCCAGGTTATATTAGAATGGAGGGCTGAGATTTTGTTTTAGTAGGTTGGCTGCAATTTTATTGAAGATAGTAGAATTTCTGTACTGTTCAAAAGAGATGAAGAAAACCAGCCTATTGTTGGACTGATTTTGAGTGTGCATTTGGTTGCTCTCACTGCTTAATAGCTCATATATGTCCTAGTTTCCCCTTGTTCGTATTACACTATTACTTCTGCATGACGCTCCAAGAGGTTATTGTTTAGTGAATGACAAGCAGGGATGCAACTTGGACTGGCCTGGGTTGAACATTTGTTGAATTTTGAAAGGGCTTGGCCTGAGGGCCCAGGTCCAAGCAGTACACATTCTTTTAATTTGGACCCCTAATTAAAAGTGGTTTCTGTGTCTTTGGTGATAGGACACAGCTTTTGTTTCCATCTAAAATTTTCTATTATATTATGATTATGATTGCAATGAGTGGGTTTATTATTTATATTCCTTATTATCCTTCTTACCATTAAATTAATGTCCTACTAGGTACTTGGGGCCTTTTGGTACTTGATTTCAATTGGACGAGAAAATGCGTGCTGGCAAGATGCCTGTAAGAATCAGACTGGCTGCAAAAGTGATTTCTTGTACTGTGATGTAAATGCAACCCAGGATCTTGGATTTCTAGACGTTTCTTGCCCTGTGATGGAGCCAAATAAAACATTCTTTGATTTTGGAATATTCCTTGATGCTCTTCAGTCTGATGTGGTGGGATCAAGTGATTTTCCACAGAAGTTGTTTTATTGCTTTTGGTGGGGACTGCGAAATCTGAGGTTTGTAAATGTAACATTCTCTGCTTTTTCTTAATTGTCTATTTCCTAACAATACTAAAGTATGGTAGCGCTGGAGTTCTTGCATGCTTATTGAGAAGCACAGACAAGATTCAACTTCAGAGATTTTAATTTGTCACAGTTAACAGATCCCATGTATGGTCCTGGTATATTGCCAGTATGTTTGCATGCTGTTGATGTTTGGATGGTCTATCAACATATCTCTATGTATATGGAATATGATGGTTCCACCCAAGAAAATTACCATCCTGAATGCTGAAATAAGCCCAAGTGACTTTTTTCATATTTCGCATCATAATCACTAGATACTTGTAGCTAACTCATTTCTACTTGTGTTGTTCTACAGTTCTCTTGGACAAAACCTTGAGACAAGTACTTATGTTTGGGAGATAGCCTTTGCTGTTGCCATCTCCATCTTTGGTTTGGTTCTGTTTGCGTTTCTTATTGGAAATATGCAGGTTATTACCACTTTCTTTAGAAACTCTTCACTATTGTACATGTAGGACATGAGTGGGGCTTATGTTATTTGTGTACATGCTTATCATCTGGAATGTTGATCCACTGAACCCACTACAGATACTAGATTCTGATCATCTGAGATGTCTGATCATGTATATTCCTTCTGATGGTCAAGGAACTGATTGGATGGTTAGGATGATTTGATTGGATTAAAGATGCAGTCATCTGAGTTAGGGTCAATCTTGAAACACCATATCCCACCTTATCTGTTTGTATGGTGGAGAACCCTGTTGTATTTAAGTCCAAATGTTGTGTTTCACTCTTTTTATATATATTAACTAAAAAGCTGTTCATTATTTCTCATTCTGTTACAGACATATCTACAGTCCTCCACTGTTAGATTAGAAGAGATGAGAGTTAAGAGACGAGATGCAGAGCAGTGGATGTCCCACCGGTTGCTCCCTGAGAATCTGAGGGAGCGGATCAGGCGGTATGACCAGTATAAATGGCAAGAAACAAGAGGTGTTGATGAAGAGAATTTGCTCCATAGCCTTCCTAAAGACCTTAGAAGGGACATAAAGCGGCACCTCTGCTTGTCTCTACTCATGAGAGTGAGTACTTACCGCCTTAAATACTTATTTACACCTTATTCTATCTGTTTTTAAAATGGGACAAATCCCTAACTTTCTTGGAGTCCCGATGAGCTTAAAGGTAGGATTAATCTTGGTCTGATAAGGATTTTGAGGGCTTCAGCTTGTCTCAACTATCCTGCCCATATCTAGCTGCAATATTGAATCTATGGGACTAAATGCACTAGTACCACAGGCCCACACCCTAGGTTTATAAAAAAGGAATGGGGAATATTGTGTAATATTTTGATTTATTGCAAATAATGTTTTACTTATATAAAAATTTAGCACTTGAACAATTCAAGGCCATACACTCAGCCTTGTTCAGATAAATGAGCTGGGAGCCTGGGACTTCTTTATGAAGAATAATGAAAAAAATATTAAATAAAAGGAAATAAATGTAAAAGAAAAAAAAATATATATATATATATATATATAGAGAGAGAGAGAGAGAGAGAGAGAGAGAAAAGGTATGAAGTGTGAGGCCTCTCTTACATTGTTTTTAATATCTTAACTTTATAAAAAATGAACAACATACCCCTCAATCATATACCCTTTACTGTTTACTCAATTACATATATATTTCAACACGCTCTCCCTCAAGTGAGTATAGATATTACTCATGCCTAACTTGCTGAGACTATTGTCCAATTTGGACTTTAGAAGTTATTTGGTCAATATTAATTGTAAATTAGACTTAACAAATATAAGACAAACTTCACTACAGAGATACTCTTTCTCATATGAAATAGTGATCAACTTCGATGTGCTTCATTTGATAATATGCTCTATGGGGTTTTGTGCTGTATTGAATGCAACTGTCCAAATGCAACATAAATGATTTCTCATATGCAATAATGAGTTCTTCAAGCAATGAACACAACCAAAGAAAGGACTTGAAAGAACTCATTATTTATTATTATTATTATTATTATTTATAGTAAAAGAAAAAATTTATTAAAGGACTCATTATTGCATATTGGAAGTTGGTTATGTTGTATGCAATAATGAGTTGAGCTCATTATGTTGTATTATGCAATAACCCACTACTAATCCTACTAAAACTAACTTATTGTAAAGGCACCAGAAAGTACTAAAAATAGTAAATCACAATTTTAATATAAACAGTAATTATGGGAGTTTCTATAGATAGTAAGTCCAAAGTTGCTATATTTTGCTAGGAAGTCATAAGTTCAAAGTCACTACAAGTAATACTTTCAATTTTTACCAATAATAGTAAATATCTAAAAGACTTAACCCTAGCCTTAAGACACTAACAAACCATAAATAAATCTGAAAAGACTGAAATACTAAAACTCGAAACACTCAAACACTCAAAATTTGTGAAGTTGCCATTGGACGATGATTGATGAATTGGGAGAAAACTGATTTCTTTCTCCATGGATTCTTTCATTGCTTCCCTGCCTGCATCATGCCCTTAGAGAATACATACTACCAAACCAGAACCAGCCAGATTAATAAGTCATTACAGATGATGACCAAGAGGACATGAAGAGAGAAAGCCAAACCTAACACAGCAGGGCAGTATGCCTGTCAATGATCCTGGTTGACTCAAATGATCTTAACGTTTCTGACCCTATTGTATGGTCTGGATCCACATTGAGTCCTGATAATAATTGGGTTTAGCTGTTCAAATATAATTAAACCTAGACTAATTATGTATCTATGTATGTGTATAACATTTTAATTTAATTTATATAATCACTAAATTTAGTTCTACATCTGTATGTGGCAGATCCTAAAAATAGTCTAATCAATTCCATAGATAATTAGACCTAGAACTTATGCTTGTAATGTTGGTTTACCTGTAATAGCAACAAATCAGATGCCTAAAGTTGTTGATAAGCCTGAATGATAATAGGGCCATTCTGGGTCTAAATAAGACTCTATAGGGTCTAGTCGTGTTTATGTGTATTTATTTCTGGTTAGGGACCAGGTCTGCACAGACCTTAACATGGAGGCTATTTGTATGGGTCTTATTACTTTAAGTACTGAGTTCTCCCTCTCTCTCTCTCTCCCCTCTCCTGTGGGCCCCACCCATTTTTCATTTCTTTTTCGTTTTTTTCCTTTTCTTTCTTCTTCCTCTTTCTTCTCTCCCCACAATCTTCCCTCCCTAGTCTTTGCCTCTCATTTCCTCTTTCTCTCCCTCAATTTCCCCCCTTCCATCTAGGTTGTGGCTCCCATTTTCTCTCCCTCTTTCTTTTCCCCTGCCCCCTCTTTCTTCTGGGAAGCCCTAACATCTCTCTCACCTTTCAAGGTCCATTACAAAAACTCAAAATCATGATTTTCAAAGCAAGATTCATTATTCAAAAATGACTCTCAAGTCTTAACAGGTTCATGATTCTTCCTTTCAAGAGATGAATAACCTCTTCGACTCTTTCAATAATTCTCTCATTCTCAACAAAACTCTCCACAGAACTTTTTTTGTTTCGTTCTCACATCAACACCACTACTCAACAACTCTTATTACAATCCAAAATGGGGTAAGCAACTTCTGCAATCGACCTTTGGCTCTACAACAGGGCTCTTGCAGCCCACCTTCAATTACCCACTGATGCGGACATCATATGCAAGACAGAAACCCTCCATTGACGTAGGCAGCAGCTCTTCCCCAAATAACAGGGAAGACCTAAATCCGTCTGATTTAGTGGTTTCATTTATTTCATTTCATTTTATTATATAATTTGAAATTAACAACTTTTTTGTTAAACATATTCCCTTCATTAGTTTGAAATAAGATCCAGTTAAGTGATTTGCATACTACCAGTACCAGACTTGTTCTTATTATTTTTGACTTATCGTTTGTATTTTCTGTATTGTATATTTGCAGACTTGTAAATCTTTAACCTATTACCGATTGGCTTAATTTTAGAATTCTGGTTTATCACCTATCATAGCAAATTTGACTTCTCATTCATATTAGTCTCATTCTATTTTAATACCAATATTTCTATTTTCCTTTCTTGGTTTTGTATGTACACTGTATCTCCATTTTGTAATTTAGTTGTAGCTGCCATCTCTGTTAGTAACTGGTTTGTGGTGCTTCTTAATTAATTACTACTGCTGCCACAACTCATCTAAGCTGCTTGAACCATCTCAAACTTGCTGTTTGTGCTCTTAATTCTCTGGTTGCTTTCACAGATTTTATCAGTTATTTTTAACCTTTTGTTCATCTTTTTGAGTTGCCCTCTATCATCTCTATTTGCAATATACTTTTGTGGTCTAACAAAGATTTAGCCATTGTTTTACCTTTTCTTTGGTTCCTTTCCTGCTTAGTTATTTTCTTTAGATATTTCTGATTTGTGTGATTCAATTACATAGTTGAGTTTAGTCCCACTAAATGGTTAAACAACTTTAGTTCTCATGCGTGAAGAGACAGCAGCTTGCTGTGCTCTAGGGGTGATCATTCTTGGCCCATACCAGTCTGGGCCTCATCAAGCCCGCAAAATTCCGGCTGGGCTTGGGCCCGATACTTCAAACCTGGCCTGGCTTGCAATATATAATATCCATAATATTTGTATATGTTAGTATATTATATATAGTAAACTAAAGATACTTAATATTATATATTATATCAATATTATAGATATGAAAATATGTTTTGTTTTATATTAAATATTAAATATTTTATATAAAAATTTTGTCATATTACATATGACACGTCAATATATGTCAACAGACGAGTCAATACATGAGTCAACTCAAATATGAGAGTTGTCCTCATTAGTGTCATAGGCAATGCCTCCATTTTCCTTTCCCAAGCAATGTATCATACATTTATAGGCTAGGCCATTACCCTTGCCCTACTGTGTTACTTTTGTTGGATAAAGTCCAAGCAAGTCAAACATCACACTTAAAGAGGTAAATATGATTGGGAACATACAAGGAAATAACTCACAAGCCAAACTTAACGGCGCAAGAATTATCAAAGCCTAATTGCCTAATGAGGAATTGACATCCTTGTGTTGAACCAGAGTTTGAAGTCTTGGTCCTTGGATCAACAGCCAAGATCAGAATCGTCTCTTGATCAGCATTCAGCACCAGTAACTGGAAAGCCATCATGACATCTGGTTTCTCAGTAACATCAACTGGAAAGCCTTCATGACATTTTCTGTTTTTATCTACCCAGACTTGGGATTCTACACAAGCATCTTTACTTCTTGCCCTTCATTCTTTTATGATTTTCTAATTCTTTTTGTTCTTTGTGCACACAGGTTTTATTACCTGTTTCTTAATACTACAATGCTCATAAAACTTTTGTAAATGTTATTCAATTCTCTTAATTTAGTTTCAATGCAAATCACATCATCAATACTCGTCAGAAAATGAGAAAGAAAGAAAAATAGGGGCTAGAAATGAAGCTAAGAAACTAGTATTTGAAGAAAGCTTAAAGCAGACAAAAGACCTTATGGTAAGCTAGGCATAAAAGATGGCTAAGTTGATTATATGAACCTGCAAGGATAATGGAGAGAAAAACAAAGGTGGAAGTCATATAGATGCATATGTATATCGTAACCTCTTCTTTTTTTTTTAGGTTCCAATGTTTATAAAAATGGATGAGCAATTACTGGATGCAATGTGCGATCGCCTCAAGCCAGTGCTTTATACAGAAGAAAGCTATATTGTTCGTGAAGGTGACCCGGTTGATGAGATGCTTTTCATTATGCGTGGCAAGCTATTAAGTGTAACCACCAATGGTGGAAGAACTGGCTTCTTCAACTCTGATTATCTCAAGGCTGGCGACTTCTGTGGAGAAGAGCTGCTCACGTGGGCTTTGGATCCCCACTCCTCATCCAATCTCCCCATCTCAACCAGAACTGTGCGAACCATTACAGAGGTAGAAGCCTTTGCCTTGAAGGCAGATGACTTGAAGTTTGTAGCCTCCCAGTTCCGACGTCTCCACAGCAAGCAGCTCCGGCACACTTTCAGGCTCTATTCACAGCAATGGAGGACATGGGCGGCCTGTTTCATACAAGCAGCTTGGCGTCGGTACTGTAGGAAAAAACTAGAAGGATCTCTACGTGAGGAGGAGGATAGGCTGCAGGATGCATTAGCTAAGGGGGGTGGGAGCTCACCAAGCCTTGGAGCCACCATATATGCCTCACGGTTTGCTGCTAATGCATTACGGGCTTTAAGACGCAATGGTGCACGCAAAGCTAGGTTGCCAGAAAGAGTACCGCAAATGCTGCTTCAGAAGCCAGCAGAGCCTGATTTTTCTGCTGAAGATATTAGTTAATATCTTTGTAACGATTTATGCTTTGCGTTCCCTGTAAAGAGTCATGAAAATTGGGACCCTACTTCACGTGTTGGGACAATCATGATCTCATATCCACTAAATCAAGCCATTGTATATAGTAATTGTATAAGCAATCTCCTATCCCCGTCTATATAAATGGTCAAGGTTATGCAGAGCAATATTGAATATTTTCTATTTCATTATGTTCATTTTGTTATTTTGTGTTCCTTTGCCAATTTTCCTTGGGGAGGGAAAGTTGGACGGTCAAGTAAGATGTGATACGAATGAATTAAGTTATCCGGTATTAAATGATTTTTGTCCTCCTGAAACTATGAACCTTGATATCCCTGAGTCATTTGTTTTTCTTTGCTGGGAATGGGAGTCTCGTCATTTTTCAATGCTTCAATTATGGCAAGAGAGGTTAGGGGAGCAATGTTTGGGGCCACCTGGTTATTATCAGTCGTTGAGAATTAATAATAAATTAGTAATACCACTAGATATCAGGGTGTTGAGCAGATCTGGAATTCTTATTAAAACGCCCAAAAGGTCAGAAAAACCTTTCCACCTAGTTTGGAAAACTGGTTCAAGGTTATCAGACTGAAATTTGGAGGAATCTTAAAATTGCAAAAAACATTTTTGGTGCCTCTGATCTCATTGTTACAAGGTAATGAAACTGAAAGTTGGGATGATCTACTTCTACATGCTTTTTTTTTTTGGTAAGCCTAGGAGTGCAGGAGATGGGCTTAGAACTTCTACATGTTAGTATGTGTATGAGGACTACTGGCCGATGCGCCGGTAGGGCGTATCGGCCTGTCGGTGCTTTTTTTTTTTAGTTTTATTTTTATTTTTTGTAATCGATTTGGAGGGGCCGATTAAGGCCCAGCTACTCTGGACCAGTGGCCGTCCCGATACAACCCCTGTAGGGGCGTATCGGGAAGCCACCGGCATGATTTTTATCGGCCAATATGGGTCATTATGTATCGATACTTTGAACCTTGTCTCCAATAATCTATGTACATAAAAATCCTGATTGATGCTGTAATAATAGACTGCAAATGATATTACTTACCTCTCCTGCTGGCAATTCTGTTCTGGTACTGGATATACATATTGCAGGGGGCATGTGATATCTTGTTTTTTTGAGCAATTCATGACAAATTTATATTGCAAGAAAGAAATTGGGGCAATCTGTCAAATTGATTTGTTGTTTCCCTAAGCTGCAGATCAAAATATTGTGCCTGGTGATTTCAGTTTTCCAAAGTTGCAGCTTAAACTTCCACGGCTAAACTAATATGTTAACCGGGTATAACGTTAGTTTGGGTTGACCTCTTCATGGGCTGGGCTTCGGGCTCGGGCCATGAATATTTTACATTGCTTTGGGCTGGGCCCATTCAAAATTTTGGCAAAAGCTCAATCCGAACCCAGCCCATGAACAGGTCTAGTTTTGGATATGCAAAGAGTTATGTAGGTGGGGCTGCCAATTGTACTGCATTGGTCTATTTGTAAGTAAATAATGGGATCAAAATACTAACTAATGGTGGCTCAATTAGTAGGTTCTCTGGTTGGTTGTAGCGGAGATTGGGCTCCATTTCTTTGCAATTCACGGTGTAAATGCATAGGAGTACAAATAAGTTGAGTGTAAGCCCTGGTTTATTTCTTTATTTATTTTACAAATTTGACTTTTGTTTGTTTTAACTTTTAACTGATGCTGGCTCAATTAATAAGATCTCTGGCTGGGTTTTGTGGAGATTGGGCTTCATTTGTTTGCAATTTTCCCTGGTGTAAATGTATTTGCAATGCATTTGCGGTTCAGTTTTGCATTTTTTTTTGGTAAAAATTTTGCATCCATTTTCTTGTAACTACAATTTACACCATGTATATTCAAGATTTGCACTCTGTCCAGTGCAAATTGTGAATCTGCTCAGTTTGGAAGGAGTATAAATACAAATACAAATATGTAGAGTGTAAAACCTTGTATTTTGTATGTATTTGTACTGTACACATTTGTATTTGTATTCTTTCCAAACTGAGCCTAAAAATTGATGCAACATTTGCACTGGTTTTCTTAATTCTTTTTCATATGAAGTGAAGACCACATCAATTGTTTCCAACCTTGTTCCTCCCTATTCTCAAACAAATAGTGTTCAGCCAGACTCCATTCTCTTTCATATAAAGTGGGGATCACATCAGCTTTTTATTTTACTTCTTAAAACAAACAAAAGTCAAATTTGCAAAAAAAAAAAAATGTAAACTGCAAATGCATTTACACCAGTATAAATACAAACATGTACAAATGGGCTGAGTGTAAATTCTGGTTTATTTTTTCAAATTTGACTTTTATTTGTTTTAAAAAGTGAAATGATGTGACCTCCACTTTATATGAAAGAGACTGGAGTCTGGCTGAACACTATCTATTTGGAAATAGAGAAGAATAGGGTAGGATTAAGAAAATCAGTGCAAAACTTGCATCAATTTTTTAGATTCAAAATTTGCATTGTACAGAAAGTGCAAATCTTGCATCATGTAATGGTGCAAATCGTAGTTACGAAAAACGGATGCAAAACTTTTTACCCAAAGAAAAAAAAAAAAAACCAAAACTGAGCCGGATGCCAAATTTGTATCAGGTTCAGGTTTGTATTGTAAATAAAAATATTGCCTTAGGGCCAAATGGCCCAAATCCCACTGCCAACACGGTTGGGAGGGTTTCTGGGTAATGAGAACGGGCTGCCCCTTTTGTGAAGTCCCGAAGACCAAAAAAATATCAATTTAATAAATAAAATTTAATATCGATGCACCCCTATTTGATCCAAATAAGATATAAATAGATATTGACTCTCTTAAAACGGTGGCTCGAACCAGATCCCAATATAATGATTATTTGATTTGCCACCCCCACCCCTATTTGAATTGAATTAAGGTTGAATTGGTGTTAATTGAATCAACCTCAGATGCTGGTGAGCCCAACAGTGACTCATGTAGAACGTTATACGACTATTCCAATTTCGATAGGTGTAGGATCCGACTGGATTTGGTCCAATCCAATATGAATCCATAGCATATACGAATATTTTGGACCGTTTTGAAGCAATCTAATTCAATGTCTAGACCGTCCAATCTGTAGGTCAATTGACACCTGTATTCTTCTCTTTTATTAATGGATCGGATATTGGTTCAGTCCTACCCAATTCAATATGGATGGATTAGGTCCAATCCAATCCAATAAATACCTTGGACCATCAAGTTGGACTGGTCCAATTCAATGTCTTATTGGTCCACCCAAATTGATTTTGATTTGGACAGGTCCAATCTAAAACCGGTCTATTGACACCCCTAGATGGGATCAAACACATACTTTGAATCGACCACAAATCAGTAAATAATCAGATCCCAACCAGCCAGACAACCAGCACTTAATATCTAACTAGCGGATGTTAAGCTAAAGATAAACAATAGAAACATGTAAGGGTATACAATTGTTTTATATAATCATAGTTTTCAAGACACCAAGGCGAGGCTGGGCATCAAGGGGATGCCTTGTCGCCTAGTTGCCTAGGCGATGGATTTTTTTATATAGAAAGCATAGATCCTAGGGTAGTTCCCTAGGTATCACAACATTTAACAATGTTTGTATTGATAAAATCCTAACAAATAAGAAAATAATAAAAACAAATTAGGTGAGACGAGCCTCATAGGGCGCCTTGTCGCCTAGGCGTTGCCTTGAAACTATGTATATAATAATTAATAATCATTTATATTTTATATACTACTTTTAATAATTTTTTTATAATACAAAAATAACAATAATTAATTTTAGATAGGATTGTTTATCAAACTTAGGGATGACAATTTTCTCCATTTCCTTGATCCCTGTGAGGATCTGCCCCGAATGGAGTAAGGATGGGCATGATTTCCCCCCGCGGAGATGAAGATGGGAAAATTTTCGTTCTCGTTGGCGGGGACGAGGAAAGCACTCCCTGCCCTACGAGGACCCTGATCCCCACTAATATATATGTATATATACACACGTTTATATATTTATAAAAATATAGTTGAATACGTTTGAGTCTTTTCTAATAGGATTGTAAATTTAAAATTTTTTATTTTTATTTTTTAAATAAAATAAAAAACAAAAATGTAATAGTTGACATTATAAAGAATCAGGTCGATTTGATTGCCCAAACAACCTAAAACTGAACCGAACCAACCCGTGAACAATAGTTTAATCTCCAATACTTATTATAGTGAAAATACACAATAAATTTAAAAAGATAAATAACAGTAGTTTAAACTCTAATAATTATTAAAAATTTTCTATTAAATAACAAAAAAAATAGATTTATACATAATTATCAAAAATATATTTATCACAAAAACAATAAATAATTAATGGAATACAATAAATATTAATGTTAGTATGTATAAATATATAATAAATATAGATTAAGTTTTTAAAATTATTATTAATAAACAATAATTTTTTTTGAAAGTTATTTTCTAGAATTATTAATTGGTATAAATGAAATTAGTTATTTACAATATTATTTATTTATTGAAATAATATCATTATTTAAAATTTAAAATATTAATTACTTCTTGAATTTAATAATCCATAAAATTTTAGTGCTATTAATACATAATTTTGTTATTTTAACTATTTAAAATCCAGTTATGTTAAATATTTTTTATTTAAAATATTTAGTTATTTAAAATCTTAATCTATTTATTATAATTGAAAGTTATTCAATACCTATTTAAAATATATTACTAATTGATTTAAAATATTAATTTTAATAGTTTGTCATTTAAGATATTTAGTTATTGAAATATTTAAATAATATTTTATTTTTAGTGTTAGATTTTTATTATTTGAATAATCCAAAAAATCATAATTTATATTGTTTGTACATAAATTTGTAAAAATGTATAATAATTAATGACATGAATATTATTAAATAAATTTTAATTATTTTTTGTCTTTTTAATAAATATGTTAAAGTTATTAAATAATTTTGTTAGAATATTAAAATAATTTTTAAATTTTTTAATTCAAACATTCTTTTGATAGATGTAGATAAAAAGTAGGGGAGGGGGGAGATAAATAAGAATTAGAGATAAATTAGGATATAAACTCTCTACTAAATTAGAGATAACTTAGGAGAAAGTTGGGGATAGTGGGAGAGGTTGTTAAGAAGAAATTTTAGGATATTAGATTATTTAAGTTATTGGAACGTGTGTGTGAGAGAGAAAGAGAGATTTTAGGATGATTTTTTTTGGGAAAGTACAGTTTCTAATTGATAGTTTCAAAAATAACATAGATAAAAAAAAAATTCTAGACTTACCTTATTTTCATATATGTAAAAGGTCTCAAGGATCAATGTGGCCTTATATACAAACTTCGATACAGGCCCAACTTCGATAGTCAACCGTAAGTTCATTTATATGTAAGGTTTCAAGGATCAATGCAGCCTTATATACAAACTTTAAGCTCAGTTTGGAAGGAGTACAAATACAAATATGTAGAGTGCAATATTTATACTATACATATTTGTATTTATACTTTTTCCAAATAGAGCTTTAGTAAATGTAATAGAGACTTAGTAAATGTATTTATATTTGTATTTATACTATGATCACTGGATTGACATGAGTGGGTTACTGCCCCGTTACAAATAGACCTGGCAAAAAGTTGACCCAACCCGCAAATCCGACCCGACCAACCCAAAAAAGCAGGGTTAGGGTCCCATATTTAACTACTCAAATGTGAAAATGACCTGATCCAAAAAGAACTGGGTTGGGTTGGGTCATGGGTCAACCCATTGACCCGATTGTCAAGTCTAATTGGGATGATTTATACATTGTTAGAAGTTTCCACTCTTCAAATTTTTCTATTTAGTCTCTACTTTTTATTGTTTACTCTTTAAATTGTTAAATGTTCAAGTTTTTTATTTTATATTTGGAATTTTAAGGTTAATTCTTTTAATTTTGACATTTTTCATATAATTTTTTTTTATTTTTTAAATTTCAATTATTTTTGGAGATGACCCGAATTGACCCATGGGTCAATCCTAACCCGAATATTTAGGGTTAAGGTCTAGCATTTGACAACCCAACCCGAAATCAATCCGAAATACCTTGACCCAACCCGAATCCGACACACCCAACCCAATTCCCAGGTCTACTTACGAGTCAGTTCAAATGGTATACGATGAGCAAGAGAGTCAGTCTCGTAACAGTAAATAAGTAGAGATGCTCAAGGGAGGGCTGAAGGCACCCCACCAAGACAACCGTAATAACTTCTGTTCGAATCTTGTTGCAGGTGTCATTTCCCACCCCCTCCAACGCAAAAAAAAAGTAAAACAGGAAAAAAAAAACATCTTCCTCCCTGGCTTATGAGAACAGTAAGCACCCCAGTTCTCATTGAGGCCCGCAGATCTATTCAGAAACCTAGAAAACTACGACATTTGGAAACATAATCACTAAACAATGTGTAAATGCATTAGCAAAGGATGGTCAAGATAACAGGGAACTAACAAGGAAATAGAATAGGAACCCACTTTTTGTGTTAAGCATTCATTGATTGATGATACAGATCTTTAATAAAGTGAAAAGAAAAATATATACAGAACCTGAAATATCATCCAAATCAGGTTTAAGTATCCTACATATTGTAGTTGGACTAGAAAAATTCCATTTCCATACCTACGTATTAAAGGAAACAGATATGACACATCCAAGCAAAGGACTTGCTACAAGAGGCGGCTGGACAGCACAAGAGGCTTCAGCTCAGCATTCACTTTACGGGAGCTGTTGTTCAAGATAGAATCCAATGTTGAAACAGCTTTGGAGATATACTTCCCTTTGTTCAACATAATGCAACTTGCCCTGCCAATTAAATCCAGAACTGAGTAGTCATGTTTGGATCTTTTATTGCACTTAAGTCTAATATGTACTAAAAAAACTCACAGATCCATCCTACTTTAGGGAGGTTAGGACCGGCATTGCCAGATAAAAGATCAAAACTAGTAATGTTTCCAAAAAAGAAAGAGTATCTCTTTTGAAGTCCATTTTGGACCAAGCAGAGTTCTGAGAATATTTCTTCAGCTTTCAAAAGAGAGGCATCCTTATATTCTTGGGGGATAACTGGATAAGCATGATCCCACCCTAACCTTCATCTTTGTGTTATTGGGGGATAGCAAGGTTTAAGATTAGAAATATAAAGCAACAACATTAATCATCCTTTGGACAGGAACATATTAATTGACACTTTAGCAGAAAATATAGCAAGACTACAAGGCTCTAGAAGGCAAAGCCTGAAATGAGGAAGCTAGATGGGAAGGTGCTAAAAGCATAAACATCAAAATACTTAAAAAGCATATCGAGAGTAATGACTAAATTTTATATGTAGTATTGTATATATCAAGACTAATCCAGTATTAGAATTTCAACCGATGAATATATGAATGCAGTTAAAAATTTTCCGTATGGTATTGGCTGAAACCATGTTCTGAACACTTTGACATTTAGTCAAAGTAAAAAAGGATTAAACAACATATTAAAATAGAAAATATAGAGAAAAAAACAGTGTATAAAATAGAGATGTTCAAAGTCTACAAACAAGAACTAGCCTCTCTTTTGTACTAGATGACATCAGGGGCTGCAGCAAAATTTCTTGTCAATATTCTAAAGAATTCAAGCAACCACACTTAGAAAATTCCATGGGCTTTTTACATTAGAAGTTGTTGCTAGTTATAGGATTCTGAGGTCTCTGCCATTTGTGTGCCCTTTCCCTGCCTTTGCACTCGAGGCATACATCTAGCAAGTGCAAGCCTTAGGCCTTACTGTCCATGCCAGAGGCTATAATTTAATGCATTTTTGTAGAAAACTGATCAACTGATCAATGCCCCTTTTTGTAGAACTCCATGCCCTACTCTTTCAGTCATCCCACAGGCACCCTCATTCTTCAAAAGGGAAATGCAATTTCTGAGCTAGGGAAATACAGAGGCAATACTTGGAATTGAGAAATTAATTATCAGAGGGTATAATTTTAGGCAACTCATTTGTGACCCCTTAAAGTGTAAAGAGTCTCAGACAGAATGATAAAGACCAATTTTCATTATTGCAAATATCAAGAATTATGAGACGGGATTCATAGAAGGATATTTTAAGAGAAGAGAATGATATTGCTTTAATAATATCATGAAATTGGTTTCACAATTATCCATTAGGGGTGATCATGAGCCAGGATGCACTTTGGACCTATGTCATTAAATAAATAGTATTAAATAATATAATATTATATGTGTCATTTTACAATATTTATCTATATATTAGATCTATTATATATATATATATGCGTGTGTGTGTGTGTGCGTGTGCGTGTGCATGCGTGCGTGTGTGTGCGTGTGTGTGTGTGTGTGTGTGTGTGTGTGTGTGCGTGTGTGTGTGTGTGTGTGTGATATATAAATATATTGCAGACTGGATAGTTACCCTCCATCAGTTAAGTCCATTTTGTATCATCTGTTTTGTTCCACCTAAGCAACCTGCAATTGAACATTTTCCGCTCTACTACGTGCTATCTGAGGCCATATCTTCTGTTATGAGCTACCATAGTTTATCATCTTATTTTCCTTCTACCAACATGTGTTTAAGCATATCATAGACCGTGCATCTGGAACATTATCTCAGCCCAGACGGGTCCCTAACAAAACATTTCAGACATATGTTGTAAGATGCACTTGTAAGCGGTACAAGGAAAATATACTTGAGCATTTCTTATATTTAAACATGAACATAATTGAGCATAGGTGGGACCAACATTATTGAGCAAAATTGATGGAGGTTGAAGATCCTAGAATAAGGGCAACAGTGAAAATTGGAAGCCATTATAATGGCTTTAAATATTAAATGCAAACATAATGGAGGATATATCTCCAGATATGATGGCAAAGAGAGAATGTTCATATAGCCATTGCAAGTCCAACATTCTTCCAAGCACAACAAAATCAACTTGAAGAATTAAAAAGAAAAATGCTAGTTTTTCCACTTACTTCTTCCCATTAGCAACATCTGTGATCTCGGCCCTAGTAGGAAGACCTGATTTGACAAGTGACTCCAGAACCTGGGTTGCCCAGATAACAGGTATGTGTGCAGCATTACAAATAGACAGAATCTCTTCCTGGATATCTGCCAGCCTTTCCCATCCACACTCCACTGCAAGATCTCCTCTAGCAATCATAACTCCCACAGGATTTGGAGCCTGCATTGCCTGAAGTAGCAGCAGAGGCAACTTCTCAAAACCGCCTTTGGTCTCAATCTTTAGCACAATCCCAATGTTAGAAAGGTTCCGCTTCTCCAGTTCTTGGCAAAGAACCACAACATCACGGATGTCTCGGATGAATGAGATTCCCACCATATCAGCATGAGCAGCAACAAATTCAAGATCAACAAGATCCTTTGAAGTGAGTCCTTCAAATTGAATATTGCTCTCAGGAATGTTGATCGATTTTCCTGCACCGAGTTTAGAACCCCTAATACCTGCATGAGTGATTGATACTAAAATCTCTGAAATACTAGTTCCCTGTACTACACCCCAAATCTTTCCATCATCAAATGCAATGGGATCTCCAGGTTTGACTGAATCAAATAGATGGCCAGAGGAACAAGTAATCTGTGGGACATCATCTGCAGACTTATCTGAAACATCTTTTGCAGTTAAGGATGAATCTCGAGATATAATTAGCAAGTCTCCAATTCTCAATCTGATAAACTGTTCTACAGCAGGTACATCCACTACTTGGCCAACAGAAACCCTGCCCTTCTTCCCCTTCTTATACAATTCTGTTCCTGACTCCACATAAGCAGTATTTGAACACTCAGCAATACAACCTATACCAGTAAAAACATGACTTTTTTGAGAAATCTTTAGCATTCTCCGTTTTCCTCTAGCATCATGGAACCGTAGAACATTACCAATTTCAAGCCCATTGAGAAATTCTTGGTCATCTATATGCAGAACTGCATTTATAGAAAGGTGAGAAGGAGGTGGTCCAGATCCTTTGTAACATAACCAAACTTGGGCAGGGAAAGTTACATTTCCACTGGCATCCTTCTCAGGTGATATTTTCATCACACATGGACCAACCTTCATGGGACCTGTGCGGAGTTTTGGTCCAGCCAACTCCATGAGAATACGACATGGCTTCTCTAGCATCTGGGAGCTTCTCTTTACCCTTCTAATAATCTCACTCCAAACACCTGGGTCTCCATGTGCACAGTTGATTCGGAAGATGGTGGCTCCTTCCTTGAGAAGATCAGCTATAAGTGTTTCACTCTCAGTAGCTTCTTCACCAACTGTTACCATAATATGGGTAGTTCTGCCATCTCGAAGTGAACCCAACAAAGATTCTCTATGACACAACGCCTTCTTTCTCATTGTTGTAATGGTGAAATCGGCCTTTTTATGTCTGTCTGAACTTCCCATATCATAAATACCATCTCCTATATTCTCTTTGCTGTTCAAAGAGTTAGATTTAAGGTTTTCCAGTATTTGGATACTAGCAGTAATACTTGCAAGAACATTTGGATTGATAGTTTCCAAATTTAAAAGACCAACTGAACAAAGGTCGTCTTTGAGTTGCTCCACGTCAAGGCATTTTAATGCCAGATAATGCATTAAGTTTGTTACACTCACCAGGTAGTTTCTGCCAAGACAAGCCAACTGTAAATTAATAAGAGTATAACGAAATTAATAAATACATACATATACATACGAGTATGTATATGCATGGATCATAGTTGTCAAGGCGTCGCCTAGGCAACTAGGCGGCCTTGGCTGGGCACCTTGCCCAAACGCCTTGACTTTTAGCAACTAGGCGCCCGCCTAGGCGACAAAAATGACAAGGCGGGCACCTTTTATAATATCATTTATATTGCTGTATCTTATTAATGTATGTGTTAATACATTTTATTATATGCTATTATATCAATTATACTTTGTTTTAATGTTTTACTATTGAAATTCAAAAGATCAAAGGGTTTTGAGAAGAGAAAAAGAAAGAAAGAAAAGAAAGAGAAGAAAGAGGAAAGAAAGAATAGAATAATAAAGTTCTATTTTTCTATTCTCTCTCTAATTAAATAAAACAGAAATTCCATCCTTGTTTTTTTTTTCTATTTTACTTTCCATCTTGAATATTTATCATATAAAGTTAATAAACTTCTTTAGCTGCTAATTAATATGAATTTGCTCTATTAAAGACTTAATATAGTAGTACTATTTTTGAAAATAATGAAATTAATATATGTAAAAGATTTTTATCTTTTAGATGTGATGATTTGCCACATTTTTGGAGGAAATTTAATGTTCTTAATAAAGAGAATTGCTATTTTTTCAATTAACATACATGCTGAATGGTATATAAAACTAGGAAACTAGCCAAAAGTCAGTTTTTTATATTATAAAATTTTTATCGCCTAGGCGACTAGGCGCCCCAGTGTCGCCCAGAATCGCCTAGATGCCTTGAAAACTATGGCATGGATGTATGTGTAACATAGTGTATGAACTCATATAGATGTGGCAAAAAACTTGGTTTCATCTGGCCAAGAACCTTGCATTTTGAGGTAAAATTGAATAGTTAGCCATAGAGGTCCAATAGTATAACTGCTGTCAAGAAGAGCCGCAGAAGATGGGATGCCTCTTGCATAAATAATAGACTAGGACTCACATTGATATAAACTCTTCTAGCGTTCAATTACTGGTGCTAGAGCCATATGTATAGTAGAGGAAAGATTTTTTTTTTCCTTTTCATTTTTTTAATGGTAAAGAGTTCACTATTACAATGATAAGGGCCATTTATTTGCATAACTTATGGGAAAAAATGCTATCCATGACATGAACTATCTATAGGATGGTCAAGATCAATGGCAGTACCTGTGACATAATTTAAGCCAACAAGCATTCCATTGTTCCATTGCTAGTACATGCAAGTGAAGAGCCTTTAACTTGTCAAGAAGGTTCCCTTGGTTCACTGGATTCTCAGCACATTCAGGAAGATTCATTTCTGACTCTATGGTAGATGCCACAGTTTCCAAATTTGGATCCTTGGGGATCTGAATACTTCCAGAGTCCAATGAGAATATCTTTCGGGTTTCTCCATTGGTCTGAGGTTTCACACTGCTTCTTTCTGGTTCATCTTTTCCATTTAGAGTCGCAGAAACTATTAGCCTTGGAGTAAGGTACCTTTTTTGGTTTGCTAGTAATGGACTGAAATAATACCCATAGTCTGAACTCTTCAAGTAAAATCTACACATTGGGTATAAGAACTTGCGATTATGAGATGTAAAATCAGAGGCATTCGATCCCTGAATGGGGAAAAAGTGAAAAACAATGGAAGAAAAAGTTAGAAACAGAAGAGATAGATATAGAAATGAACAACAACCAGATACCTTATACCCCCTGAAGAAAAAGAAATTGGCCTACGACATAAATATATTATTAGCATGTGAGAATTGGAAAGACTCATCCTACATGCACACAATAGATGTTACATGCATCATAGGTCAAGAATAGTATAACATGCTATCCTACAAATCTAATCTCCACCTCTTTTCTTGACAGTTGACATTATTCTAAACCATGCAAACCAATGTCAAGTAGTAAACTGTATAGGGTGTAGAATCCTCCTACAAGGAGGATATTTCTGTTCAGGTTTCTTTGCGAGCCAGGGACCAATTATCCAGGCTTTGACACAAATACTCAATTATTAATGGTTAAAGAGAATATGATGCAGTCCACCCAATAAAGTTTTATTGTTTGGATAAATAGAATAATGTGGATATTGACTTGCTGCGCTGCTGACCATCTAGCCAATCATACTATGTTTGACATGGAGTTATGACACCACGATCATTGATAGTGGGAAGTGACATGCTATATTTTCTCAATAATTGAAACAAATTAGTAAACATCATTTAAATCATCATCATCATCAATGCCTTATCCCAACTATATGAGGTCGGCTAGTAAACATTATTTAAACAAAAACTAAAAATATATGAGCTCTAAAACTATAACATATTCATTTCATATACAATTTATGGGACAAAAGAAGACCAAATACACAGTTGGGAGTGTTGATAAAAAAGTTACATGACTTTGAGGTGAGCACTGGCTAGTAGTAGAATGAACTGAAAGTGCGTGCAACATTATCTAAAGGATGGCGTCCAGCATTAAGTTGACACCTGCGAAATTTGAAAGATAGCATGCTTATTTGAAAATGTAGAACATAATGAACAGGAAATTTTAAACTAACAACTAATTATGGTACCTAGATACAGATATGACATGGACATGGCTATGGAGATAAGACTCCAATCTCCATTTCCTAAAATCCTGGATACAGACAAGGGTATCCCATATAATATGCTTATGCCATGCATTTATATCTAGTTTTTGAAGTTAAACATCATATTTCTGAAGACTTATGTCTTACCAAATTTAATTTTCTAACATGTGCAGATTTTTTATAGTATAATTTCTTGAAACATATCATTTTTACACATTTTCTAAGTATTAATGCAATATAGTACATCTAGAAGTATCCATGTAGTATCCAATATTGTATCTGACACCAGTATACTTGGCATGTACAGGTAGGGGTGTGAGTCAAGCTGGTTAAGGAAAGATTAAGGCCAACCCTAGCCCAACCCAAAGTTATGAACCCTCAACCCTAACCCAACCTAAAATCCCTCAACCCGATCCAACCTGAAGTTGACTTCAGGTTGGGCTGGGCGAAGCCCAACCTTTCTCCCATTCTCTTAAAAGTCTCAAAATTTACTTAGTCTTCGACCAAAAGACCTCAACTCAACTTTCATGACTATATGCTGACTATATTTTCTATTTGTATTTGTTTTATTGCTATCACTATCATTGGTTTTTTTACTACAAAAGTTTAAAAAAAAAAAAAAGAACATTTCAAATGATTAGAGTCTATTATAAATTCTGATAGATCTCCTATTAAAAATATAAAATCATGAAATCAGCAATAATAAAATATAAAATTATGGAATGAAAGTCACTAATGGCAACTAATAAGATCAAACCAATAATTTGATACATCATCCATTGGTCACAATAACAAATATGGGAAAGAAAATTAGAAGAAAACAAAACATACAAAATGGACAAGCACCTGCAAATAAATGAAAAAAAAACAAAACATATAAATCCATATCCATATGGGCATATATGGCTATGAATTAAGATGAATGAATTACGATAGCATGCACCAAGACTATAATACATACAATTGGGTTGGGTTGGGTTGCCCAAGGGGTGGTCAACTCTAACCCAACTCCAAGTGAATGCAGGTTGGTAAAAGTCAACCCTAATCCTAACCAAATTGTCAACCTGACCCAACCCAACAGTCTTTTTCAGATTGGATTAGGGTTGGGTTCAGGCTAACCTGGTTCGAGTTGCAGCCCTATGTAGTATGTACAGGTATCCGGGTATCATAGACAACTAGTCAACATGAAAAAATTGGAAAAAAAAAAAGAACAAAAGCATGAAATGATTATATGCTGACATGGTTTTCTGACTGCTCCACCTAAGATTGGGGATCGTATTTTTGAAAGAAAAAATTATGCAAGCAACATTACTATTGTTTTGATGCAAGAATTCTCACCTTTCTAGAGTGGGATTGTGGAGAGATAATGACACTTTATGAACAGGCTTGACCCTATATTGTGGTAATCCTCTAAGAAATATAAAGTGGTTTGAAACTCAATGCAAAATGTGGATGCAGTACCATATTAAATATCATGAATATAATTGGATGAATTTTTCTACCCAAGAAAAAAAAAGAATATAATTGGATGAATGGGTTTTCCTGCTTATCTACCCATGTATGACCATTAGACGCATTAGGAGAGGACAAGAATTTGCAAAAAGTTTGGCCATTGTGAAAAAATCCTAGTTGGCATTTAGCTGCATTAAAGACTCAACAAGGATAATAAGTCAAGTTGCTAGTTGTTTATCTGGGGGAAGTAGAAGAAGATCCCTGATCAATGTGCTATTAAGGGTGTAATGAGCAAAGCTTTGTGCATCTACACTTCGGCTTGTGAACTAACATTTCAGGCTCATTTAGCCAACCTCAGCCTTGGATCATATTATTTTATGTGGTATTTTGATATTAGGACCATTGAAGCACAAACATAGAGCGCATGTTTTGAGAATTGACTAGTATCAGTGCTTTAAAAAGTGTACAAGGCTTATACCTTGTAATTTGATGTTAGCTGTTCATTATTCTAATTAAGTCCAACCTGAATATAGAGGTTACTAAACTCGGTTGTATACTCCAATATCATATTCCTTTGCCTTAGAGAATGGAATTTAATTCCACAGTATAACCAACTGGGAGAAATTGCTTTTACATCTTAATTTCCATCTGTTCTCAAGTGATGTTTTTTGGCTTCTCTTAATAAGATTGTCACTCCTCAACTCTCTTCCACCATTGAAATGCAAGTCCCTTCCAATTTCAGCCAACGCCTTCCTCTCTTCCACCATTTGCTTCCCACCAAAATAATTCTAAATGCTGGTTTCTCAATCCAAGTAGTCCTCCAAATGCATTTTCCTATGAAAATCAACCACCTCAATTTTAATTCAAAATCTATTCAAGGCCTTTCTTCAAGGCCACCATGCCCCATTTTTTCTCTGTTTTCATCATAGTGGAAGAGGTTTTCTTCTTCTTCATTGTATTTATCTTCAAGACTGCCTTTCAAACATAGTTTTCAAGGCACCAAGGCAAGGCTAGGCAACAGGGGAGCACCTTGTCACCTAGGCGCCCACCTAGGCAATGTGTTTTTTTAAGTAAAAAACATATATACTAGGGTAGTTCCCTAGGTTCCATAACCATATTTCCTTAAATAATTATCCATAATTTTCATAGGAAAAGTATAACCTTCATGTTTTTTTTTTATATGATAAGTATAACCTTCAAGTTAAAGTACATAAAATCAACAATATTTGTAAGAAAAAGAAGAAGGAAAAGAAAATTCGAAAAATGTGGGGGCTGAACCCTTATTTTGTTATAGGAAAAGAAGAAGAAAATACAGCATTTAGCAATGTTTGTGTTGATTAAACCCTAACAAATAAGAAAATAATAAAAGGAAATTAGAATATAAACACACAAAATGAATATTTTAGTTTAATAATGTCCAATTTATAATTATAATCTCAAAAAATTAAGAATATAAAAGTATTTTAGCATAATGTACGAAACTACTTAGTAATTAGGCAAGGCGAGCCTCCAAGGGCACCTTGTTGCCTAGGTGCCCGCCTAGGCATCACCTTGACAACTATGCTTCCTATATGTTTAAAGTTTCAAGTCAGGCTTCTGAAATCTCCATATGCACCTAGCCGCTGCCTTGACAACTATGCTTCCAATATGTTTAAAGTTTCAAGTCAGGCTCCTGAAATCTCCATATGCGCCTAGGCATTGCCTTGACAATTATGCTTCCAATATGTTTAAAAGTTTCAAGTCAGGCTTCTGAAATCTCCATATGGGCCTCTTTGCACTTGCATAAACACAATGCTTGAGCATCCATGACAAATCTTCAATCATGTGCCTCATATTTAATATCTCTCCATTCTAGGCCTAATTTCCTTTGCCTTCACGATCTCTACCATGAGAAGCAATGGTATAGATCTAGTTCCTTAGGCTCTAATACCGAAAATGGTGCAGCAACAAGAGAAAAACAAATCAAACCACCTAGTTAAGTGTTGGATTCAGTCCCAAATGTGTGTGGATGTGCACATGTCTGTGGAAGGAATTCAGTAAAGTGGGAGAATATAGTGTTTAGGCATCCTCACTAGTACTAGCAGAAGAAAGAGTTTTCTTTCTTAAGAAAATGGTGCAGCAACAAGAGAAAAACAAATCAAACCACCAAGTTAAGTGTTGGATTCAGTCCCAAATGTGTGTGGATGTGCACATGTCCGTGGGAGGAATTCAGTAGAGTGGGAGAATAGTGTTTAGGCTTCTTCACTAGTACTAGCAGAAGAAAGAGTTTTCTTTCTTAAGAATATGCCTAGAGTTCAACCTTATATATTCAAACCCTACTAACAATAAATCCTAAACACCAATTTCTATTAATCTGGACCATCAAAATAAAACAACTTACTCATCCAAAAATACCGATAGCTTACATAACTACTTAAAATTCAATGGACTCTTGAGCACTCAAATGGCTTTCTTTTAAACTGAACTACTAATGACTAAAGTACCATGCATAAAAGGCAATCTACAGAGCCAGTAAGAAGTGATCTACTACAAGTTGAAGGGTCTAGAAGTAGGGCTGCAACTTGATCTGGGTTAGCCTGAACTGAGCCCAAAAAGGTAGAGTTGGGTTGAAGTTCGGGTTAGGGTTAGAGTTGAAAAGTACGAACCTGATTTAACTTTGGGTTGGGTTAAGATTGAGGCCTTGACCATCCCGAACCCAAACCCGACTTAACTTCATATTTGTATTTATAAATAATATATAAAAATGCACTTATGCATGTAAGTACTTATGTATTTATGTATTCACTATTCACGCATGTATGTATATGCAACCATCCATTGTATTTATGTATATATGCATTTATATATTTATACATGTATGCATGTAAATTGAGTGTCAACAATTTTTTCTAGAAGTTGATAACCATGTTAATGCTAAAATTGAATTAACATGAACCCTTAGGGTCTGATAAATAAGAATATTTGACAAAAGAAAGTAGAGAAGTCAGGCCAACCTGAGATTAACCCAAAGCCAACCTGGTCATAACCCAACCCAAAGTTTTAGGGTGGGTTAGGGTTAGGGTTGGGAGTTCAACAACTCGGGTTCAGATAGGGTTGACCTCAACCCAACCTAAACCGGCTCAACTTGCACCCATATCTAGAAGAACTAGGTCCAGACCAAAAACGACATGGGTTGAAGTCGTAATAAATTATTTAATGCCCATAAGTTCACAATGGATATGACATTGAACAGAGCGGAATGGCAGGATTTATGTAGCTGATCCCACATAGTTGGGGTAAGGCTTAGTTGAATTGAGTTGATGACCAAAAGTAACTCTAAAAAACAACAAACATACAAATCACTAAAAGCAAAGATTTTGCATGATCAAATTGGTCCTCCTGCATCACTCCTACTTTGCATCCTCATACATGAATGACCACAAGCAAGAATTAAAAAGTTTTATATAATGGATAATATTAAGACAAAGTACATATATTGATAAAAAAAAAGTAAAAAATGACCTCATCTGACAAGGGAATAGATGCTCATCTCTAAAGCATTCTAAAATATGATTCCTCACCGACTTAAATCAACACTGTTTGTTTGGTGCCTCTACACCACCAAGAGAAAGAAAGAAGAACGAAAGAAGAAGAAGGACAAAAAAAAAGAAAGCTTTACATGGAAAGAATGAGAAATATATTTTTCGTGTTCTTGTAATCTGTGGCTAGACAAACGATCCGACCTAGTAATATATTAAAACATTGGTTTTTGAAATTATTTCGGAAAAGTTCAACTTTCAAGTTCATATACTTTCAAATTTTCCCTTAAATAGCGAGGACAAGCACACTGCATGCCAACACCCAGATAAGATACTAATACTTGCTCCTGTTCCTCATTAGAGATTCTGGTATTGTTGTTGAAGCGGCGGGACTAAATAATTGAAAACTTATCTTTGAGTAGCTGTTTTCAACTTTTCAATCATGACGCCTCTGATCAATAGCTCATATCAAAGCATCATCGGAGAGAAACGCGTAAAATTTTCGAATTATGTAAATTCTGTATAAACCCAATTTGCGAACAAATTCTAAGAAAACAAACAAAGGAATAAAAGATGTACGAAAAATTCGATCTCATTATGCTTCAAAACATTCCAAAATATCTGAACCCAATTGATTGAAATGAAAAGGCACATCATGCAGCGACCGCCACAAGATAATTACAGTAAAATAAATTAGTTAAAAAATCGGATGTTACTTTATTTCCAAATTTACAGAGAAAGAAAACATGAAAATGAAAGCGAAATAGAGAAGAAGTGATCGCAACATGCGCGTATACCTTGTTGATGTTTGGTTGGAACTTATTAGAACACGACCTTTTCGACTTCCAAATTACGATCTCCTTCAGTCTGTTCTTTGGCGAACGAACCCTGTTAAAGGGAGAATCAGAGGAAGGGGATTTATATAAGGGGTGTGTGGAGAGCGCGTGCCTCATTTTCCTTTTGCAACACGTGGCGAACTCAGAATCAACGCAACACTGCTAGCCGAATATGTGAGCAGTAGACTCCAGTAGCTGCAAAGTTGCCCTTATGAGCCAATTAGCTATTGGTCATAAAAAACTAGGCCTGTTATCGGGTCGATTGGGTTCGGTTTCAGTTAATTTTACCAATAGAATCGAATTTATCGGGTTAATTTTAATAACAATCAAAATCGAATATCGGATGATGATATTTTTGACCAAAGCTATCATTTTTTACGGATCACACACTTTTCAATAAAAATATAGGATTCATTATGTAAAAATTTAATTAATAATTAATAAAAAATTAATTAATTAAAAATATTAGATAGAAATTGGTTATTAGCAAGGATTAAAGTATTAGTATCGAGTATCATATTGGACAGTTTGGATAGGAATACGCTTGGAAAACGCATGGATATGGACAAAAAATATGAAAAATGCTTGAATACGCTAAGGAAATGCATATAATTACATTATTAACTTCAAGTTTAATGTCAAAATAACTATAAAGATCGTATAAATACATAACAATTGTATATTTTAATGATATATCTGAATAAATATATTATTATTGATATAATGTGATGCATAGATATTATACGATTTTATTGATAATGCATCAATTTTTAGTTTTATTAAAATCCAAAGCACAAAAAACACGCAACCATATATTTGAATTATTATATCAATTATTTCTATTTTACAATTTTCAATTTTTAACATCAACAAAAAAATCAACTAAAAATTAATTTGCAAATGTTCAATAAATAGTACTTTCACTTTTGTAAACAATAAATATGTTTATATAAACTGTAAATGAAAATTTGAAGGTGCATATCATATGAAAATTCATAAATTTTAATTACTAAAATAATTATTCATTATTAATATTTTTATTTTTATGACTTTTTAAAATAAAGACATAATTTTTATTTAAATGTAGATTAGTGGATTTGATAGATTCAATTTATATTATATTCTCAAATATTTTATAAACAATTATTAATAGAATATATTAATAATGCAAATTAATATAATAATTATTCTATTAATAATATTGTATAAAATATAATAATTAATATTTTATAAACAATTATTGTATTGTTATTTAATGCAAATTAATATATTAATTAATAATTTATAAAATAATTATTGTAATTTATCAAGTCTACATAAATAACTCTAAGTATTAAAATAATTATTCTATTAATAATATTTTTATTTGTATAAATTTATTGAAATTTAAAATCATTTATATATATATATGTGGATTTGATAAATTATTTATTTTGTTGGTTTATAAAATAATAATTTTGAATACAATTCTTGTTAATTTATACTTGGAGTTATTGAATATACTATTTGTTTATATTAAATGTAAGAATTAATTTTAATAAAAAATAATTTATTTCATTTATTATCATGAAATGGAAGGTGGCTTGATGGTTAAGATCCTTGCGGTTATATGGCTCGGGTTTCAGGGATAGAATCATGTTAAAACTTTTTTTCTAGTGAAGCACTTTTCTATGTGATACGTGGGTTCGGTACGCCTTTGTGTCAGTGTGTATCAGCTGATACGCGCCAATGCAGTGGCATATCAGACCATTACGCACAACTGATACGATTGTCGTGGCTATCTCATATCTTCCCTTGTCGATATTTTAATCCTTAATTATTAGTCTCACTATTTTATGCAAAAGGCAGAAATAGTCAAATAAAAAATTAAACAATAGAGTACTGACTTGATGTTAACTTTTATTGGATTGGGAGAGGGAGATGAGTGACTAGCATCATATTCAAATAACAAAAGAAAAAACTAATCGATTTTTGACACCAAACACAAATAGACAAAATTGTACAAAAAAAATCAGGAATATGTTTTGAAGCTTTTATACTTACATCGGTTCGGGTCGGTTTCAATTTGATTTATAAAATCATCACTCAAAACTAAACCGAATGATCGGGTTCTAAAGTTTTTCAATTTGAAACCGATTGATTGTCTTTGAGAACCGAATAAATCGGGTTGAATCGGATTAGTTCGATCGGTTTTTACAATTTTGTGAACAGCCCTAGCTAATTTGCTAATGACTAGTCAGGAGTTCTACTTCCTCTTCCCCTTGTTTTAACTCTTCTACCTTTTTCATTGGATTATAAATATCGTTAAGTAACAGGGTAAAAGACTTTCAACTTCGCCTAAGATTTCTTCTAAATACTAAAACATCCCCTCAACTAACACCTTTCCTGTTTTTTGGTATTGAATCATACGCCTTTGGCCCCGTCTCGACATAGTATAATACATTTTTTTTTCCTTTCGCAACAGTCTAAATACTCTTCTTTCACAACAGTATATGTTTGGTTCTATGAGAGTTTATTGAAAAAGCACTGCCACATCAATGCCACATAGGCATTGGTGTTTATTGCATATGAAACCATTGCTTGATTTCACCGTTTATCAAATAAACACTAGAAAACTGAAACACTTTGATTTATGTGCATGGGGCATTTGGGGAAACATTAAATTCACATTTCCCTCAATGCTTGGGAATTTCTTGAAATGAAATGTTGATGTGGCGCACTTTATTTGATGTAGAAAGCAACTTTATGGGGTGTTACTTGAAACACCCATAAAACATCAAACCAAATAGAAAAACCAAAAAAACGTTTAAGTAGTGTTTCTCATATAAACGATTATAAAAAAAATGCCTTTTAGGAAACTCCCACAGAACCAAACATACACAAAATTAGTGGGAGCAATAGCAGGATTCAAATCTACATCTCTTTTGGGACAAACCCATTTATAAACCAATTGAACTATCACTCAGTTGGCTAAGATTCCTCTATTGGGTAAATGCATCAGTCTAAAACATCAATTTGCCTTCTTCTTTTCTTTTTCTTTTTCTTTTTTTTTTTGAAGCCATAGGGCAAGTGCTTTATTTAACTTTCAACTTGGAGGATACATCTCATCCAAAATAATAGATCAGGTGCAATCTAGAATAGAGGACCAAGTAAACTATCGGTTTTGCCTTAGAGCAAATTGGGCAAGCCCATGTGCTGCTCTATTATAGGACCGAGGGGTGTGATACCAAGCACAGGATGAGGATTTTGAGATGGTTTTTCCTTCTTCGTTGTTCTTTTTTCTTCCTGACCTTTATGGTTACCCAATGACACCATGTAGTATTCATTTGAATACTTTATTAAATCCCTTCATCTACTTGCTCTTTTAAGTTGCGGTTCAGTTCTATCAAATTTTGGTATGCAAGAAGGGATCATAGTGGGTAGGGTATTCCTACAATTTGGCATTTTCTATGCTCGAACCCATTTAGGTAATTTTGATCCCAAACCTGTTTAACTTTTCCTCTCCTAATTCCCCAAACTTGTTCTATCCAAACCAATCTCATCTGATTATCATTTGACATATCCTATTGTTGCTATTATTTTTTTTTCAAATTTGAAATTCAAATTTAGTTACCTTTATTATAATGCCTATTAAACTTACTATAATTGATTATATTTAACACTCTATTTATATAATTAACCTCATAACTAACCTTATTTAACATACCACTTATAACATTACTTAGTTCCATTAATTATTTCCATCTCATATTTAATTAAATTAATTCCATTGAAAATATATTTAAAACTAGCCTTGTGTAAAACTAAGATGTTAGAAGTATTTGAACCTAGTTTGATTACTTGAAGAATAAGCATTCTAACCACTCACTTTGTGATGTCTTGTGGAAGGAGCATTGATAAGAAACCATTTTATATCTATGCATATTAAAGTACAAAAATATTCATTTGCAAATACTAGGTCTCGAGCCATAAACAAACTAGCACTAAATAATTTTGCCTCTATGATCACCTTTATGTGGCAGAGATGCCTATAATGGGACATATATACATACATATATATATATATATATATATATATATATATATATATATATAAAGAGAGAGAGAGAGAGAGGTCTATAATCGGGTATGGGGAATGAGTATTCACATTAAGTAAAATTGGCTTTGGGTATCGTAAGGTCAAAATCCAAACCCCATAGGATTAGGATGGATAGATATCCTAAAATTCCCACGAAATTGCCATCTCCATATGCAAGAAATCAAGTTTTTTTGTTGATATTTTACTAGATCCTTAGGTTCACAAATGAATCTATTCAGTGGTTTGTTCTAAAGTTTCAATTGACAACAACAAAGTAGGGTATGATCTATGTCGATTAGGACTCCAACAGACATCTATATATATACTAAAGTAGAAGCATGCCACGTCATGGCCTAAGCTTTCTCCCTTACTCCAATCGAAAACTCTCAGCCCCTCTTCATTTTATCCTTCCTTGCCCCCTCATGAAGCCACCTTATCACTCCCTCCTCTCGTTTTGACATCTCAGCATGTCTGGCCTATCCATCTTTCCTCTATGTTCATCCCTTTGGATATCCCTTCCTAAAACTATTCTTAAAATTTCTCTCCACCAAAATCTAATCTAATCTAGCTAAGTAGCAACACTAACCCCCACTTTCTCTTGAATTATCTATAATTTCTATTTATCTCCTAAATTATATATAATTACTAATTATCTCTAATTCAGTAAAGAGTTTATCTCCTAAATAATCTCTAATTCCTATTTATCCTACCCCACTTTTCATCTATATCTATCAAAAGAAAGTTCAAATTAAAAAATTTAAGATATTTAAATATTATAATGAAATTATGTAAATTCATAATTTTATTAATAATCTTATACTATTATGAAATTCATAACAAAATTATGTACTAACAATATAAATTATAATTTTATGAATTATTCAATTTAAATATTATACAAATAATAAAAAAGTAAAATTTAAAAATTTCAATAAGTAAATACTATAAATAATAAAATATTAAAAATAATTAAATATTATATAAAAAAT